GGGTTTAGGGTTTAGGGCTATGTCAAAAGATGCTCCCCAGAATCCTAGTCTCACTGCTAAGGCCCCCCAAACTAAAGCCTACACCCTAGAATCCTTGTGAAAGAGCTCTCATAATCGAACCCTTACAGGGAAGCCTGTTTTATCACCGGCTTTACGGGGCTTTGTGTTGCAGCTATCGTCCAAGCAGGCTTGGGAAAGCCAACTTGTGGCCTGTTGGTTTTGGGGTCTGCTTCAGTGTAGGTCCTATTCAAGGTGTCAGGCTTCGGGTTTGGACTCTACCTATAGTCTCCAGTGTAGTTCCTTCTTTTGGTTTTCTCACCCTAAACCCTCAACCCTAAACCCTAAACCCTAAACCCTTAATCACCCTAAACCCTAAACCCTAAACCCTATAGTCTCCAGTGTAGTTCCTTCTTTTGGTTTAATCACCCTAAACCCTAAACCCTTATAGTCTCCATTATAGTTCCTTCTTTTGGTTTAATCGGTTTTGCATGAAGGATCTTAAGAAGTACCTAAACCCTAAACCCTCAACCCAAAACCCCCAAAAAGGAACTACAAGGGAGACTGTAGGTAGGGCCAAGTTTAGGGTCTCGGGGTGCCTTTTGCCAACTCCTCAACTGGGTTGCAGTTTGGGGTGCCCTTGTGGGAGTTTCCGGAAATCAGGGGGTACCTTATTTTGGGGTCCTTATAATAAGGATCCTACTATTTGGGGTACTATATTAGGGTCCCCTATTTTCGGAAACCCCCATGTATTTGTGAATAGGTACCCTAGAGGAGCCATGAAGGACAATTTGAAGTCCTGGGGCTTGCTTGCAGCATTTAGGTCCCGTGGCGCAATGTCCCTGGATGAAGAGAAGTACAACAGCAGATACTGAGCGACAAACATGGGTAGTTGTCCAAATTAGGGTCCCTTTTTGGGTCCTTAGTACAATACGGCACCTATTTTTTAGGGTACCCCCAAAGGGACCCTAATTTTGACAACCACCCAGCTGCAGCGTGTAGGAGTTTCCTCGACGAGGCGACTGTGCCACAGGTGCGGGCAATCGTGGAGCAGACCCGCTTCCGCTGCGTGGTCGGCTCGGCAGCTCAGGAACTCGTCCAGACCTCCGAGGCACCCTTGCATCTTCAACCTTAGGCTGCCGACGCCCGGCCGTAGTCGGTGCTGATGCCACGACTCTTGCGGCTGTGAGCACACCAAGCTGCCCGGAATGGCAGTCTCTTGTATGGAACCTCTCCAATACGCGTCCCACGTGTCCTCCGCTGTCTTGAAGAAATAATGGGTACACATGATGTTCATTCCCACGTGGTACCCTTGCTGCAGCTGAATGCCAAGGGCCGGTGATGAGGGTTTAGCGTTTAGGGTTTAGGGTTTAGGGCTGCATCACCAGCCGGGGCCTTCCGATATCTTTAGGTGCCGATTCATGTCGGGTGGTGGTCAAAGTTAGGGTCCCTTTTGGGGGTCCTTATTATAATACGGCACCCATTATTTATGGTATTTTTTAAAGGGACCATAATTTTGACAACTACCCATGCAGAGCAGGAAGAAAGGCTTGCAAAATGTGCTCTCAGTGCAAGCCCAAAAAACTCCGTGCTTGGTACCCACAAGAACAAATCGCAGCAACAGCTGTTGGAACCCAAAAGCGTAGCAGCGAAGAGGATGCTCAATACACTGGACTCACCCCAAAAAACCCAATTCTGGTTATTGAGGTCCCTGCAGCACGGCAAAGGATAGGGATTCTGAGATGCTGAAGCAAGGAGCCATATCTAGGCCAATCTAGGCGCCACCACTCCTTCTCGCCTGCGGCCTGCAGTCCAAAAAAAACAAGTGAAGGCCGCACCCTCAAGCTTAAGCCCAATGCCTGGAGCATCTTTGAGCCCTATAAACCCTAAATCCTAAATCCCAAACCCTAAAACCTAAACCCCCAAACCGCCCAAACCGTAATTCCTAACTCCCTAATCCCTAAACTCCACCACCCCCACGGCTTCTTAGGTCTGGCGAGCTGCTCCACGCATAATAGACGAGCCGGATGTGGCTTTTTGGGTTTCGGGTTTAAGGGCTAAGGGTTTAAGGGACTCGGAGTACTTCGACTAGAAAACCTCTATACCTTTGGGTTTAGGGGTTTAGGGTTTAGAGGGTTTTGCTCTATTTTTGCTTGTGTCATTGCCCAGCAATGTCTATCATCGCTACAGCTACCTCCTGCAACCTAAACCCTAAACCTCTAAACCCCCTAAGCCCTAAACCCCTATAAGCCCTAAACAACCCCTAAAGCCCTAAACCCTAAACCCCTAAAACCCTAGACCTAAACTCCGCAGCTCATGGACCGTCCTTCTGTGCCATGCAAACCTCGGATCGGGTCAGGTCTTGAGGGGCAATGTCGACCCCCCACCCCCTCCAGCTGGTTTATGAGGGAGTCCTAATTTTAGGCCCGTAAGGAGAAAGGGTGCTTATTCATCAGGGGCCTACATGATTTTGGAGTCCATCCGTTAATACTGCCTTGATGGTGCCACTTCCGGCGGCTCACGTTTCAACTAGCGCCTTTTGCCCGACCGGACGGTCCTTCCTTCCGGAAGGCTCCCGAAGATGAAGACCCTTCGGAGGTTTGGGGTTTAGGGTTTAGGGTTTAG